GATCTCTCCTTCTTTTCTTTCATTTTCCCACGAGCAGTGGCCCTAAGGGCCTTGCTCCACTCGTCACCACTTGCACAAAAGACAAAACATATGGCAGCGTATGATTCCATGTTGTAGCAGAAGATTCATTTAAGTTTTGCACATTTGGTGAGTAGTGGATGGAAGCCCTGAAAAGCACGTGGTGAGTTGGCCTGCTACTGTCCGCGTGCTCAGTGGTCCCATAACTGCTGCAACACGGACCTTAATGTGAATCAACACCACATATACTTGGCATGCCACGACCCTAGCCTGGGTATGAGCATTGCCTTGTTCATGGTGAGGACGCCCTTGCTAATTCTCTGCAGGGGCCTCTTGGATAACCCGCAGGGGTTTTCATATTAATGTTAAGGAGTTCAATGTTTGCCCTCTCTCTCTCTCTCTCTCTCTCTCTCTCTCTCTCTCTCTCTCTCTCTCTCGTGTTCTCACACATCATAGCCGCTTTTTTTTTTTTTTTTTTTTTTTTTTTTTTTTTTTTTTTTTTTGCGCACCGGTGACCAGCGCACCGCACCGCAAACTTGCGCCGCAGGTATGGAGCTAACCGCTCGTCTATGGCAGCTTGCTTTCCCTTCTGTTCCTTCAACAGTGCTTGCAACCTCTCCCCCTCCTCCTCCATTTTTTTTTAATCATTATATTCCTGCCTTTCTGCAGCCACCAACTTATTGTTGAGTTCGACCCTCTTCTCTTCTATCAACAAGTCCGTCTCTTCCTGATCTGCCGCTGACGCCATCTTAATCACAAAGGCATTTTTCTCTTCCTCAGTTTCTTCCGGCATCTCCGTTTGATACCCGAACTGTCCCATCCAATCCATCGCCTCCATCTGCAACAAACTGATTTCCCCAGCATGGCTGCTTTCAACCTTCTCTTCTTGCGGTTGGGTTCTCCAATTCCTCCATCATCTTTCTCTCTTTCTCCTTCATCTCTTTCTCCATCTTTTCTTTTTCTTCCAACAACTTTTTCTTCACTTCCTCGTCCTCCTTTCTTTCTTCTCCTCCTTGTCTTTTTTCTTCTCTGCCAAGCGGCGGTCTATCTCTGTCTGTTCTTCAACTGTCTGGGCCTGCGTTGACTTCCCAGACCTTAGCATCATATGAGAGAAGAGGGTTTGCTGGAACCCAAGAGGAAAGAATAAGCAAAGTAGGGGTCCCCATAGCACAGAAAGGGACAGGAGTGTGAACATGGGATAATCGTCCATGGTGATCAAAGGCACAGGTACCTACCCTCCACCTCCTCACCACTTAGATCTAACCCCAACTACTAATTACTAACTCCTGAGTGGGTCTGACTGTTGTTGACTGCCGTATACCTTCCCAGAACTTTGTATATATGTTTTTTTTTTTTTTTTTTACGAGTGGACTGGTTGCTAGACTCAACTATGTCACGAGATTTGGACCAGCCCAGCAGCAGCGACAATAGGATGAGGAAGGTACCAATACAGGTTTAATGGGGGAATGCATTTCACTCCAATGAACGTTCCGTTGATGAAGCTCCATGGCCGCTCCAACGCTCCAACGCAGCAGCAATCAGGTACGTAATCACCACTCAATCAGGCCCCTTCTTCCTCGGCCTACTTCTCTAACCCCCTTCGTCAGTCTTCTCCCCACTCAACTCACTCTCATATCACCCTTCTCGCCAGCCTTGATCGTTTCCAGCGATGTTCAGTGGATGTAATGAGCAACTGCTCCGATACCAGTTTGCAATGAACATCCTAGTTCAACACCAGTGCACACATATTCACACCACATGCATGTATGAGATCACACGAAGTTCACACTAACGACCAGAGAGATTAAGACCAGGTAGCGCAGCTTATGAACTCCCAAGTTATTACAAGAGCAATAAGAGTTTCCGAGTCACCAGCGCACATCAGTGCATGTCAAAGGTAACTAATAACCATTATAAGCTCTCAGGTAAGTATCTCTTTCCCACCGCTCTTCTCTCTTATGTATCTCCCCTCTTTGCTGGTCTTCTTTCTAGCTATGTCCTCGCTGTGTCTCATCTCCCTACATGCGTGCACACACACTGACTACTACTCAAGGATCTACTCTGAATACACCCACTGATATGCCTACTAACCATCTAAAGTCTACTACTAACACTCTGCACTGGCGCAGCTATGGCTGCCTTCTCAATGCCAGTGCAATCTCTCTCTCTCTCTCTCTCTCTCTCTCTCTCTCTCTCTCTCTCTCTCTCTCTCTCTCTCTCTCTTAGCGCAGCACTCTGGCTTCAGCGCTCTGCCCCTCACTACAGTGCACAAGTGCACCAGCACTTGCACACTTCTTGCGAATGAGCAATCTCCCTGAATGGGAGGCTGGCCAGTCCTTTTGTAGTCTTGGATTGCACTTCAACTCGTGCCAGCCTCTGCTTCTTGGGGCCTGACTGGTTCTGGTACCACATCCCCATGGCCTGTCTGCTTTCGAGTGTCAAGGCCTGGAACCTTCCCAAATTTCCATTGGTATGCTGCTGCTTCGGCCTTTGAGTCATGACTTTTCAATTTAAGCATATGGTTTTGACTGTGGACTGTGACTCCTGCCTCTGAGACATGACTCTTGCTTGTGGGACTGCCCTTTTACTCGTGGGATGTGACTCTTCAATATGACTTTTCATTATGAGACGTGACTTTTACCCCTAAGATGTGACTGTTTGCTGGGTGCCTGTTGGACTGGACTGCTGAGGTACCCGGCTGTGACTTTTCTGAATTTGACGAAGTCGGCCTTTCTTTACCAGGGCCTCTGCCCCTGAGACCCGAATCTGGGGCCTGAATTGTGGAATTGGTGTATCTTTTACGTTGTATTCGGGGGAAGACTGTATGTCCTTTCCAGATCTGTCTTACGATTGGCCATGGCCTGAGTTGGGGACATAGGGTTTAAGGTTTTTAGGGTTTTGTCACTCAAAGATTAGGGTCCCTTTCTTGCCCTTTTTTGGGCATAATATGCTTGTCAGATCTCTCCTATGGCTTCTGTTGAGTTTTTAAAAACTTTTTTAACCTCTTTTTTTTCCCCCCAGGCCAGCCTTGGTTAGTATTTTCACAGGGAGGTCAAACATAAGATGAAGAGTACCGCAGACCAAGGACATTTCAGGCGAAGCTGGATAATAGTCCGAGTACTTGTATGTATTGGTTTTTTTTTTTTTTTTATGTATTTTATTTTTACTATTTTCTGTATTTATGGGACGCTGAACCCCTGCTCCCCACGAATAGACTGGGAGCCATCCAAAAGAAATCCTCGATCTCTTTGGTGCTCTTATCACCAAGGGACCGTGGGATTTCTCAGGATGTTTTGAGAGAGAGAGAGAGAGAGAGAGAGAGAGAGAGAGAGAGAGAGAGAAGGAACGTTGGGGAGATCCGCTGAATTGGAACGATACAGTAGAAGATTAGCACGGCCCCTGCGCAACAATGACACACGTCAATCATCGAGAAGTGGTCCAATTTTTTTTCAAGTATTGATAGATTGAGAGCTCTGCCTTGAGTCTATGGGTGGTGGTGATAAGAAGGAGCAGTAATAACAGAAAGGGTATTAAAATTACTATTAAAGAAAAAGGAAACAAGAGACAAGGAATGCAAGTTCACACACAACTTTGGAGACCTCAAAAGCGAAGGAAAGAAAGCCATGGCCATAAGGACCTGTTGTCTCTTTTTTTTCTTCTTCCTTAAAGGACAACTACCTTTGACGTTTTAGTGGCGGGCCTCGAAATTCAAATTCGGAGGCCGGCAGGAGCTGCCGAGGAAAAATACCAGCCCCCGTCCGGTGCCGATTTTTTCCTTTGCGACTTGGCGTCCAGTGAGAAAAGAGAGGATTGGGAAGGGAGAGGGGCCACAAATTCACTCACCGTGTAGATGGTCCTCAAGGGAGCCTTTCGGAAAATACTCGATCACCAGAGATTGGTAATGCTCCGAGTCACAGAATCCCAGCACCTTTGCCAGGTTCTCGTGGTTTAACGATGTTATACTTTCCAAATCCTACACCATTCACACACAAAAGGTACAGAATAAGTTACGATTCTTACGAAGTCCCTTCATAGTTACGATTCTTACGAAGTCCCTTCATACTTTGCCAGTTTATTAAAGTCTAAACTTCAAATCTTTTTAGTACACTTTTCTCATCGGCATTCTTTTTGTCGGACTAACTCGGGTTCCGGCAGAAATGGCATTTGAAACTGTTGCATCATTACATGCCGACGACTTCCGTGGTCATGATGCTCATGCAGTGCTTCGGGACATCCGTCAAAATAGGAATGATAGAAAAAGATTTGCACGACGCTTGCGCATACGTGACACACATAGATCGAGAAACGGGCCCAAAAAAAAAGGACTCAGGTAGCCATGCAGCACTCGTCAGCGCACGAATCTGTGACAGGACTTGAGACTGTGCGCGTAGTATGGCAGAAGGAAAGACATCATCGGTTTCGTAAGGGCGACGACCTTTCGATAGATATGATCATCGAACTGAACGTCCCCCCAGGTAATTCGAAGTTATTTTATCTAACTGATCAGTGATTACATAATCAGGACTCGAACTCAGGTCTGTCTGTCAACAGCTGATGGGTGTACCATTCAGGCGAAATGGGCTAGGTGCACAGAAATAATATGCATAAGAAGTATTAAGAACATATAAAATTTTACGAATTGATAAAATAATAACACTAGTAAGATAATAACAGCAAATACATGTCTTCCAGCGAGTCTGACCACCACCTTATTTTTGTTGAGACAGTACCCCAACCTGAAAACAACAAAGGGGGTGACAGCTGACGAGAAGAAGAAGAACCGCCCGACGCCTGCCCCTGCCACTGACTCTGCTTTAGCATCTTACCCCTTGCTATTCTAACTAAGATGCACACTAGATAGCAAATAGGAAGAGAAATCAACGAAAGAATGCTGTCTTCCCTGGAATAGAACGCATGGTTACATACCAACGGGCCTAGCTCAGCTGGTACACTGATGAAATATTGAAATATAGACTCAAGTTCGAATCCAGACATATCAGACGAAAATAATAAAATCATTCTGAAATGCCTAGGACCGGTCAGGTCAATGATGATATCTCAGGGCCGTCACCCTCTTTTTTTTTTTTTTCTTCTTTTTTGTTTGTTAAAGAACACATTGTCATGAGTTGGTTAGGCATGCAAGTGGCATTCAGGAGGTTGTGGGTTCAAGCCCCATGGCCGCCTGCGGCGCACTTAGTGCAAACGGACTGTGATAGTCCTCTGGATACCCCTGATCGGTATTAGCGGGGTCTATGATCAACACGGGAGTGAGTGTGAGCGCGAGTGGGTTGTGTGTGGTGTGTGGGAGAGTGTTGGCCATAGCCTCTGCTGCTACTCGATGAAGGGTGGGGGATGATGAGAAAGGGAGGCASAGCTACTGGCAGGTCTTGGTCTTTGTGTTAGCCAGACCCCCACTCGCGGCCCCAACCCTATACCCTAACCATTAGGGGCAAGGGGCAACATGAAATCTCCCCTTCACAGAGAGAGGAAACTAGGCTTGCAGGGGTCCCCTCTAGATAGTCTTAGGAGTAGGTAGTGGAAGGTAAAGAAACAGAAGTTGAGAGAAGAAA